ATAATTTAATTTATTAAAAAACAAGTGTTGATTAAAATTAGAAATGTCTGAACATGGGGCTGCTCTACAAACCTATAATCAAGAGTTAGTGAAATGTATGTATTATCAGAAATTTATTCTTTTTCTCTTCTGATTTTATACAACTTTAAGGTCTAGAAGAGTTAAAAAATAAGCGAAATGCGTTGCAAGTGATCATTGAACGAGAAGAAAATGAAAAGATGCAACTAGAGAAAAACATGAAAGTCATACAAGACAAACTACAGTCATGCAATAATAAATTAATTCAACACATAAGAATAAGAAATAATTACGACCAGACAATAAAAGAAACAGAAGTTGGCTTTAAAAAGGTACACCTCTTAATTTCAAAATTATCAAAGTAAATTTCAGTATTTCAGATATTAGAGAGTTCTCAAACCTTATTAAACCTTGTTCAACATGAAGCAGGCAAACTTAACACCTGTATCGACTCATTATGCAAAATTAGCAGCATACAATACAATGCCTCGTGTGATTGATTAATTTTAAGTAGAACAAGTATGTATATTATATTTAATAACTGTTTTAATACAATTTTTGGACTTTTAAATGCTGTACATACAGCTTCTATTATATCTTCACATTTTTTTAATAAAATAAAATTAATGCATTTAGTAGTTTACAGCTTTATTGCATAAGTTATGCAGCAACTGTGTTATAAAACTGTGATATGCTTTTAATTATTTTCTTAAACAGTCTTATTATTTTCAGATCACATAATTTCCATTTAATGTTGAAAAATATCATGCATTTCCTAAACTTTTCTGATTTGTCCATATTTGCAATAACTCTTCTGGATTATTAAACCCATGTGATGCAATTGTGTATTGGTATTCTTTAGGTTCATACTTTTTTCTATAAAAGTGGAACTCATCACAATGAAAGGGTTCAATATCTACTTTTTTAGCTACAAGTGCAAGATAAATATCATCAAATCTAAAATGTTTAGTGTAGAAGCTGGCATAGTACATTTGTAAAAGTGCTTCTCTTGATAGAACATAAGCTCCAGCAGTGACATAGGGAGGCCATTTGTTGTATGGGTATTCCTCTAAACTTACATACCATTTGCTTGTTATGAACCTTTGAGGTTTTGACACAATCACATATCCTGCATATAGTTTAACATCTTCTGGTAACTCAAAGTTTATATTTTGTCTTTTTCTTCTGATAAAGGGTAGTTTGACTTTTGGTAAAGTTTGGAGGTATTCTTTCAAATATTGAGGATAATTTGCTGGATTCCTTACAAATCTGAGAACATTTTTGGTTGATACATAATAATCATCATCAACAAACATATAAAACTTTGATTCATTGCAGTAAGTTATTGCCCATTTGAATCCCATCATGGTTTTAACTGTGTTATTGAAATAGGAGTCAATATAATTGGCTTGGATAATGTCATTGAAGGTTGAAGACTCTTCTTTTATTTTCCTTTGAAGAATTTCATTACTAGTTATGCCCAAGAGGAATACTGTTTTTATTTCAACATCACTAAATCGTCTTTCAAATCCCCAACTGTTCCTGATTGCTAGTCTTTTATTATTATTATGTGGAGCTGACTTAATTAAGTATACTAATCTTATTCCCTGCGTATAAAGAGGATCCTCTAGTTTGCACTTCTGAGAACACGAATAAATATAATCATAGTTGTAAGTATTAATTGGTGCTACATCTGGTACTTCTTTCTGTCTTAGCTGATTAACTAATAAGTTTATATCAACATCAAATGGGTATTTAAAGTCTTTGCTATAATCTTCTTCTAGTATGTAAAGAAATAGGCCAGACATGTACGACACTACAACTGCACATATCACAAAGTAAAAATATTTTTTTACTTTGTTTGGGTGCATGGTTCACTATTACTATTTATTTATCATCACCAACATTCTTTTTAAATTTGGCTTGATTTGTTTACATTATTTTGAGGTTATATTGAGCCCTATGGCTCTTGAAGAACTGTTCATACAACCTCAAGATATTGAATATTTTTGAAATGTGTCTCAAGCCACACCAAAAGTATATGTTACTGTTCACTGGGCATTTCTAGTATTTTTAAAAAAGTTTTGGTAAAGTTACATTTATTTGAAACCCGAAAGTATAATAAGTGTAGTAATATGTAGAGTATATCATATCAAAATAAATTCAATAAATGATAAAATGAGATTCATATGTTGAATTGTCATCATATTTCCTAAGCTAATAAAGTATTTGTGGCATTCTGGATTTTATTTGAAGCTTCCTGTGTAAGAGCAGCTTCTCTGAGAACCTAAAATTATTGTTTTCAGTTGATATGATTTTCACAAAATTACCAAAATTTTTTCAAGTATACCAAAACATGTCCATCCATTTGAGCCAATGATTTATCAATCCATGATAAATTCTTTTCCTTTTGACCACATTCATATCTAGTTATAAGGGCAAGTTGAGTTACAGCAAGTGTGAGAGCTGCTGTTCTTGCTTCCAACAGTCTTGGATCTAAGGGGGGATACATGCTCCTTACTACATCATCAACACGACTTGATATTCTCTTTGCACACTAAAATTTTCAATTCTCATGCCTCTTGATTTATAAAAATGAATCATCTTACATCAATGATTTGTGATAACCCAGTTCCATTAGAATTCATGGGTCTCATAGCCAGGGCTGTTAGTCTTTCAGTCAAAAAACGACATGTTTTTAAAATTGATAGGCAATGAGGAATTAGTCCTGTTGCATCATCTACCCATTGCTCATCAGTTAGAATTTGTTCCAGATTAGGATTCAATGTTACTTCATTTAACAAAATTTCTGGTTTTTCTGGTTCAATAAGCATCACCTCTGGTCTAAAATGCGTTTGTAATGAAAGACAAATATATTCCTACTTATTTTGTTGATACCTTGTTGAGAAGTCATCATTTTCACAAAGTTTTGATTTGTAGTATAATTTTTGTCTTCGGCAGATTAATATTAACACTATAAATGCACTCAGAAAAATTGCTGATAGCACTCCAATTGCTATAGCAGCAATCATTTCAGTGTATTCCGGATTCATTGTTATAATATATTTGTAGTAAGATAATTTTACATTTCTTACATATGTATCTCAATATGTGAGTCTTATAATTTGGCCCATTTATTAATTGCTAACGGCTCCTATTTATATTCTACTTTTGTTATTATAATACTGGGATAAAATTACTTCACTTATATTAACCACTATTTACTATCCAGTTGTAAACAGGAATAAGCAAAAACAATAATAAAAACAAGTCCAGTATTTTGTTGACAGAAGGGAGGCAATTCATTAATCAACATGTTGTCAGAACTCAAAAGCATTTAAAAGAGGAAAATAAAAAGTGGATTCTCGATTTGAATGAATACATTATAATTTTAAGAAATAAGTAGTTACTTAAAGTAATTATTTAATTTTCATATTTTCTGATTTAAAAAAGCGAATCATGTTAAATCAAAGATTTGCATTAATTTATGAATGATTTAATGATTCAATGATAACTATGAATGGCAACATCGTATATAACGTTTTTTAATGAATAAACTAATCAACCAATCAGAATTGATCAATAAACCTGTAGAAACATGGCTGAAACAATCAATGAAATGTTTTCGATATTTTAGGTTAGGATATTGTGTCGGCGTAACACGAGCAGATTATTTTTATATTTTTAACTATATTGCAGAATGGAGCTTGTTTAATCGTTTAAGGAGTTATTGCAATAAGTAATTAACTTCTTCGTACCCTAAAAAATGGCAGAAGAAGATAGAGACAACTTTATAAATGCGGAAATGCCGGATAGAGATATAGTAGGAAAGTTGCTACCCAACAAGTTGCTATTATAATCTTGTTTTCTTATTTTTAAGATTNATTGTTATTTATTAAAAATGACAAAACTTCTTTAAAAAGCGGATTGAAAAAGTACAAATGTTTGTTTGTTGAATTTTAGTTTTGGTGGGAAATAATCACTGCTTTATCGGCGGCTACCCCTTATTTACGAACAAATTGACCTTTCCCCGTCCCCTAACACAAAATAAAATTTGTATGATCCAAAAATGTAGCCCCACTAATTATAATACCGATGATGTACTTGTTTTTAATAATATATTTATACTGAAGTGATGTATTTTGTATTAAACGTTAATAAAGAGCATGCGAATTTTGTTTTGTGTTTTTCTGCTTAGTATTTTTTTGCTGGTTTCTGTGTATGCTTCATTTGGGGGATCGTGGTGACTTGCTGACTGTTGTGCATTTTATGTTTTGACAATAGAAGTACATTTTCTTGTTTTATCGTTTTAATAGAATTCGATGTCAGAAACGGCCGAGGGCACATCACAACTATGTGAACAGTACAAAACTCTGTCTGTTGAACTGGAGAAACAGGTCCAGGTTTGTGTTTTACCGGTAGCAATGAAACATATTTGTTATTAATCTAATTTCTTTTTAATACAGATTCTTCTTGAAACACTCAACCAAAAAGATGCTCAACTGAATAGTTACAAAGCAGAGTGTGAAAGTCAGTTGTCAGAATTGCAAGAAAAGCAAAACCGTATCATTGACTTAGAATTTGAATTGCTTTCTACCACCCAAGAGAAATCTGACGCATCCAATGAAAAAGAATGTAGCTTTTGGAAAAGAGAACTTATGGAAAAGGACAAAGAGATTTCGAGACTAGAAATTGAATTGCGCAAACGTACTGGGGATTTACAGACTATAGTAAACAAGGAATTGTGGGAAAAAAATAGAGAAATAGAAAAGTTACAGAAGAGATACGGAAACGTACTAGAATTAAAAGACAAAGAGATTGTTGAACTTAGAAAGGACATTGAGGATAAAGAGTCGCAACTTACCCTACTCAAAGATAAAATAAGCGAATTAGGAGCTCAAATAACACCAGAGTCGGACCTGCTACCTGTTAAGAACAACGAGAAATTATTTTCTGAAAATAAATCCTTAGAAGAAAGTCTTTATTGCAGTTTGAAAGAACGAAAAGAATTAATTAAACAATCAGAAAATCTTAAACATAATTTAAATAATTCCTTGGAAAATAATAAAAGTGAAGAATTAGCTGCTCTAAAAGACGAACTAGAAAAATGCGAGAAGTTGAGACACGAAAGCCAAGACATTTGTTCCGTATTAAGCACACGCTTGGAAGAATTATGCCAGTTTCTGGATTCCTTATTAAAACAAAAGTCTGTCCTTGGATTTTTAGGGAATAAACAAAAAAGCCACCTTCGTAAAATCATCGATCAAAGCCTTGATCTTTCTCGCACTTTGTCAATAAGCATTTCTCTAAATCCAAATCAAAGCCTCTTACAACTAAGCAACCTCAGTAATTTGTTAGATTTGACGCATGAAACAAACGAATCTATTAATAGTCCTGAAGAAACTTCACTAAGCATTCTTCCAGATGAAGTATCATTAACTTATCAAAGTCATTTAAAGTGCACTAATACAGATAATATGATTAATTCAAGCATTGTAAGTCAACAAGCTGAAATAATAAATATATTACGAGAACAAGTGGAGAATCTCAAGAAAGAAATTGAATTAAGAGATACTGAACTAGAAAATAAAGCAAGAAGCGAAAGAAAAGAACTGAAGAATGATCAGGAATTCGTTGAAGCAGTTATAGATCTACAGTCTTCTTTATCCGAATCCTCCAAACATGTTCCATCACCTCAAAAAATTTTACAAGGACTGTTCCCTTCGAAATCGCCTTTATTGTGTTCAAACGATAAATCTGTTCTTAACACCACGTCTACCACCCTTAAAAATGTTAACACAGAAAATCAATCAGAATCAGAATGTTGGTCAGAACCCGATCGAAAAGTATCTATGCAGAGGATGGGAATTATTGACGATAAGGTTAAAACTGGCTTGAACTCTTCCTTATCTGGTCGCAGAAGTAGATTCAGTTATATGGAATGTCTTTCAACTGAATCCACAGAGGACGAAAGAAATATGAGTTTGTCCAGGACACCATCAAAGAGAAGCACCATAGTCGTTTTACATGAACAGATTTGCGAGCTTGAAGACAAGCTTAGAGACAAAGAAAAACAACTTTTAGCAGTCCAGATTGCTTACTTTGAAACGGAAAAAGTTCTTAATGAGGAAAAGGCTAAGGTACTCAATTACATAAAACAGGAAGAACAGTTGGTGTCCAAAATGAAAAGTACAGAAGATAAGCTTAGAGAAGCTGAGCAAAATTATGAAGCAGCAAATAAAAAATTAGAAGATAACAACTCTGTCATTGCTACTTTAGAACAGTTTAAGTCACAAATGGAAGAGCAACTGAAAATGAAGGATAAAGAAATGCATAATATAATTAATGAACTAGAAAAGGAAAAAGATATGGCTATTAAGGCTGCCGAAGAAGCCGAAAAAATAGCTGACAATGCCAAAATTGATATCAAAAATGCAGAATTGAAACTTTGCGATTTGAAGGACGAGCTTGCACAGATAGAAAACAAAACACGACAAAGCTTAGAGGAAGAATACAAAAATAAACTGAGAAATATCGAAAACGATTTCCAAAGTCGAATGAAATGCTCTGAACAAGAACATCAATCAAAGTTACAATCTCTAGAACACGAATGTGAATCTCAGATAAAATCGATAAGAATGACCATAGCCAGTATTAAAGAAGCTTGTGCCGAAGATCAAAAGCGAAATTCTGACGTAGCTAATGAAACAACAGAAGTAGAGTATATTATGGACGAATTGGAAAGCATAAGAAAATCCATCCGATCTATGAGAGCTAAAGTAAAAGACATGGAGGAAAACGAAGAATTCTATAAAGAAAAAATATTTAAACTGGAGGTTCAAAATGAAGAAAAAATAAAAAATCTTTATATACAACTTGACACTGTAGCACTCCAACACTCAGAAACAATGTTGGAGAAAACAAAGTTGATGAATGAAAAGAATGTTTTGGAACAGGACATTCAAAAATATATCCGCAAAGAAGAAGAATTGATAAGACAAGTTAACGATTTCCAAAGGGAATTTACTGATATACGGCATAGTTTCCAAAAACAACTTAGCTACCTAGAAAACCTCAAAGTATCTCTTGAAGCTAAAGTGACTCAACTCGAATCATCGAATGCAGATCTACGTAGAAGAATTATGAGTAGTGGCAATATCAACGTTCTTGATGACAACACTCTGTCTTATTCTCTTCCGAATAGTCCTACTAAATACGCTGACCTGTATCCCAACAAAACCTTGCCCATTCGTTCTAAAAAAAGTGTTCAATACTTTCGAGAGTTATCGGACACTGCCCCTAGTGACCTGGGCGATACTAAAGGATTTTTTAATGTTGTTCAACTTCAGGCACCGAATGTTATGGAAATGGAGCACGATTCTCGTCATGGAAATTCGTCTCCAGATTTGGGGATAGAAAGCGACCAAGGACGATTTTCTAGTCTCGAGGCAAATGTCAACATTCCTAGACCTTTGTTACCTACTTTAGAACTAACAGAGTCCATGAATAATCTATTGGATAACAGTGTCTCTGTTCAAGACGGTTTTTGTAGTAAGTTTCTAAATTTTTCTACTAATTTTAACTTCTATGGACGACATCTTAATAAAATATTACTAGCAAATACATTTATTTTTTGAGAAAATTAACATTAAATTACTGTTACAGATAATGAAAATTGTATAATGAAAATTAAAGAGATGATGAATGAAAATTCAGAGTTAAAGAAGCGACTACTGAGGACGAGAAGGGCTTTAGAAGAGACGGTGACCCAATTAACACTGGCCAACAAGCGTAAGAAGGAAGTGGAAAAAACGATTTGCAAACAAATTCACAAAACAAGCCAAGTTTTGCGAAAGGCTAAAGCTAATCTTGATTCTGGTTCAGAAACAGAAGTTCTAACTAAAAAGTGAACGTTTATCACTTATTTTGTATGTACATTTACCACCATGTGTCCAGTGACTGATTTGTTTATTTTTTTAATTTTTTAATTCGTTCCTTTTTAATTTGTTTTATTCAACGACTTTTTTATTTAAATAAAGTTGAGAAACTTTTTTGTATAAATTTATTATTTGTAAGTTTACACACGTGTTGTGATGTGATAAGTCTGTCTATAATAATATCTAATTACACACAATTGCCATGTACAAAGTTGTTGAGTAGTTTTATTGTAAGAGCATCGAAAAAATGAAATAGTTTTATAATTCAAACGGTGTGGCTGTTATGCATTTATAATGACAGTATTTTTAAATTTTAAAAGTAGATTAATGTTTGTATATATTTGCTCAAATAAACTTTCCCCTTTTTTATAAACTCTTTTTACTTTCCTTTTTTCATCATCTTGGGGTCCCAAAAAATGTAGGACTTGTGAAGGGCAGATAACGGTACTTACTGTGCTGTCTTTTTCTTTGACACTTACTTTACAACGTTATGTGATGTGATGTGAAAATATTCGTTTTTGTTCGTGTATAATAATTTGACTATTTTTTAAAAAATGACCGACAATTCTTCAGAGAATAAATCACCGTTAATATCAACAGACAGTAAAACCGTGTTTATTGACTTCGATAGAAATACAAAGTTACATCTTGCCGCTGCATTGGGAGATACTGAAGAGGTATTGAAGGAAGTGCAAAATGGACACAAGATTGACATTACAAATTACTTAGGGTGGACACCTTTAATGATGGCCGCTAGACATGGTCACATCGAAATTGTTAAAATTCTTATCGAAAAATTGGCTGATTCGACAAGAAAAAATAAATTTGGTAAGCTACTTTTGAAAATTAAACAATATAAATATCAAATAAAACTCGTTGTCTGAGTGGTATTTATGTAAAATGTTTTAAGGATGCAGTATTTTCCACATGGCCATCGCGAGTGGAAAATTAGAATTGGTGGTATTAATTTTGCAACATCTTTTACGCGGAGGTGTTACAAGAAAAAGCATGGAAGGCTTTCTATCTCCAATTTCACTCGCTATTTTGTTTAATCACAAACCCATTGTACAGTGTTTAATCGATCAGACGTTCAATGTTAATTCAGAAACTATTAAAACAGGTAAGAAAAAATATATTTTATATTATAAAAAGATTTTAAATTTTTTTAATGATACTATGATTTAAGTAAGTGCAGATGCAAGACACACTTAGTGCAATTAATCTTTTTTTCTAGAAATAACACCAATTATGTTTGCTGCAGCTACAGGAAATTTCGAAATGTTCAATTATTTAACATCAAAAGGTGCTGTTACAGATCCTAATACAGTGGGTGTAAAACTAAGCGAAATCTTTAAAATGAAACATTTCGATGATTGCCCGGCAAACCATCAAAATCACGCTCCTTCCCCGATATTAATAATTCATCCCCCTATTCAAGCGGTTATGCCGCATCCTCCCCAATTTCCCCTCTCTACACATAATCTTTACCCCCCTATGGTGGGACTACCACGTAAATCTTCCGACTTTGAATCACCTTGTTTTATGAGTCCTAATGTGAGTCCTGTGACACCCCTAACTCCCACATTTCGTCCCACCTATCTTCCTAGTTATGCAACACCGCAAGTATTTTTCCCACCCGAATTTTCTCCAGTCAATTTTGTCAGTCCTTGTCAAAATGTTTCTCAAAATAGCGATTTTTTAAACAGACGTTTACATCAGACTACTTTTCTATATACATTTCCTCAATTTTCGCCAGTCAATAATCAATATTAATAAGTATATTTAAGTGTAGACATTAAATTATTATATGTATAAGGGTATATTTGAAATGATAGTACTAAAAAA